GTTTGCCTTTTTTATTTTTTTTTTCCGTTCGTCATTCTGCCCACACCTCCTATACCCAGCGCGCACCTCCACGCTTTGCACGCCTCTGCCAGCCCCATTAACGACACCCCCGAACCAGGATTCCGGGTTTGTTCGTCGCTTTGGAAAAAAAGATCGAGGAACCAGATTTCTGGATCTTTGTGCACGTCGAAAAGAAAGAGTTGTCCGATCGAGAGAGATTCGGCAGCGCTTCGACGCCGACCGTCGCGATCGACCGATCCGAAAGCCGCGACGGGCGGCTGACGACGATTCGACTCACGCCCTGCCGCCGCCGGAGGGTGCGATTGCGTGTTCGCGACTCTGTGAAAATTGAGATTGAGATAGAGATCATCCCGATCCCCGCGTCTCTCTCGCCGTGCTGCCGCTCGCCGCATCGCCAGCGCCATCATGTCCGGCCTGGGCCCGTCCGGGTCCAACGCGCATGGCCTGAATTTCTCACAGGCCGCCTACAACAGACGCAGCGCGGGCTTCCCCACGGCGCACGCAAACCAGCCGAACAAGCAGTCGCCGGCACCCCAGGCCGCCTCGCCGTACCAGTCGCAGGCCTATCCGCAGCAGCCGCCGGGCGCGTATGCCCAGCATCACCTCTTCAACACGCCCGCGTCCGTCAACGCAAGTGTTGCGAGCGCCTCGTCGCGGGCGCCAAACGTCCATGTGCCCAACACCATCAACGTGCCGCGCCAGCGCACGGCTCCGCCGCGGCAGCAGATCCAGCCGCAGTCGAACCCGGCGCCGATGCTCTTCCCGGGCTCCATGACCCAGTCTGTTGCCCACGACTCCATCCTTTCGCACCAGCAACACCATCCGCAGCATCATCCGCAACAGCATCCGCAGCATCCGTCGCAGCAGGCATTGGGCGGGCATCCGGGCCACGCGCAGCAGCAACAACAGCATCACCAGCAGCAGCAGGCCCAACAGGCGGTTCAGCAGCATCAACAGCAGCAACAGCAGCAGGCGGTTCAACAACAACAGCACCAGCAGGCCCAGCAGGCGGCTCAGCAACATCACTCTCAGCAGCAGCAACAGCCTCATCATCCTGCTTATGCTCAGCACCAGCAGGCACACCAGACTCATCCCTCCCATCCGGGACATCAAGCGCATCAGGCACATCAAGTCCAACAGCAAGCACATCAGGCTCAGCAGCATCAGCAAGATCAGCTCCATCATGCACACTCTCGTTCCCAGCAGCAGGCAGCGCAGCAACAGCAACAGCAAGCACAACAGCAACAGCAGCAACAGGCGGCACAACAGCAAGCACAGCAGCAAACTTCGCGGCAGCAGCTACAGCTTCCTCAGGCTCAAACTCAACAGCCCGTCCAGCAGCAGGTCCCCCAGCCAGTTCAGCAGCAAGTGCAACATCAGGTGCAGCACCAGCAACACCAAGCCCAAGCTCAGGCTCAGGCTCAGGCACAGGCACAACACCAGCAGCAGCAGCAGCAACATCACCAGCAGCAGCAGGCACAACAACAGCAGCAGCAGCAGGCACAACAACAACAGCAGCAGCAGCAGCAAGCACAACAACAGCAACAACAAATGCGAGCTGCTGCGGCCCAGCAACCTGAGCCCATTCCCCAGCAGCAACAGGATGGCCATGCAGGAGACGACATAGATATGGACGGTCAGCAAGAGGGTGAGGAAGGGGACAGCACACTGGCTCCATCCAAACTCATGAACGATTCAATGGCAGTGGCCCCCATGGGAGAGATGATGTCACCACCCCCCGAAGGTGGCAGCTATCCAACACTAGAAGCTGTGCAGAAGGCAGTTTTGCGTTACTGCACCTCGGTGGGCTATGCCATCGTCATTGGCCGATCCAAGAAAACTGTCCCTGGTCTGAAAAAGGTCTTGTTCGTCTGTGACCGAGCTGGCAAGCCACCGAGCCGAGTTAGCCCCGAATTCAGGAAACGAAAGACATCTTCCCGGAAATGCGACTGTCCCTTTGGCTTCTTTGCCATTGAGCAACGGACCCAATGGACCATTCGTTACCGACCCGACCCCTCGCATTTGCAACACAACCATGGACCGAGCGAGAGCCCCTCAAATCACCCTGCAGCCAGAAAGCTTGACAGCAAGATGGTTGCTGCTGTGAAGCAGCTTAAGGACAATGGTAAGTACTACACTGCACCTTGCTTCTTTTGAGAGGAAGAGACGAAGAGAAGATGGAGAGAGGGGAGGAGGCATCTTGTTGGATGGAAATTCTCGCTAACCGATCCTATGTATAGGTGCAGGCGTATCTGAAACGCTGCAGATTCTCCAAACGGATAATCCTGACTGTCACTTGCTGCCGAGAGACATTTACAATGCTCGGGCAGCCATCAACCGCAACCCGCAGAAAGTGGCCACGGGCCTGGCGGAGAATAGGCCGGCCATATACACCAAGCCGCAGCCGTCGCCCGAAGATAGGATACGATCAGACCTGCGACGGGAGCTGGCCAAGGCGCGCGAGGACCTGAAGAAGGTGGAAGACGAGAAGCAAAAGGAGATTGACGATCTCAAGGCCAAGCTGGTGGAGAAGGACAAGATTATTGAAAAGTTTGAAATGTTCATTGACATTTGCAACCAGAGAGTCATGGTTCAAAGAGAAAGGCTGGCTGGGGGTCATGAAGGCGGCGCGGCAGGCAGCTCGACTGGTTAAGGCAAGGCAAACACGAGAGCTTTCCCATCATCTTCATCTAGTTCTCATTTGCATGCACAACTTCATCTTCATCTCCATCTTTCCTTTCATCTTCATCATATCTATACTACCCTCTATACTACCCTCTATATCTCGCTCTGTCTGCCCATTCTCAACCTCCCTCCCTTCCAAAACTGGCGTACCGGTCTTTGAAATATACATGGAAACCCGGAGAGCAGTCGGTCGGTCGTTCCGGTCTACGGAGTACTACTACTACATATACGGAGAGGCGTTCAAGAAAGAAACGGTGATGTCGGTTCGATCCCCCAACTTTTTATGACATTGTTATCATGCAAGTATATGATGTATGTATTCCTTTAGTCTCGCCTCTTTCTTCCTTTTTTTCTTCTTTTGCTTAAGATGAGGAGGATTCACTTCCAATTCTGGTCTGTCCGAATAGCTGGGTACTAAAGCATTGAAGCCTATACGCTTCCCAAGCCATGAGATTGCTCTTTCCTCTCTCTCTGTCTCTCTCTATCTATCGCTCTCCTTTTTCTTCTAACACTTGAACTTTCTCTCTTTTGCTGTCATTCTATTTTTCTATACTATGTTAGGTCGACTTATAAGGGGCGTCATATCATGTAAAACTGGTCCTTGAGGGTTGCTCAAAGAGGAAAGGAAGCTTTTGTAGGACGCGGGTAGCTTTTATGCTGGTAGATTTCTTTTATCTTGTCGCTTGTTTGAACGGTCTCGATACTCGAATGATGAAGTTTCATTTTTTTTTTTCCCCCTCTCCAAATGCAACATTTCGTTTTGTTTGGTTTCTCTGTCTTTGGTGTGATTCGCTCCTTTTTAGTATGTTTGGTTGCGTGACTTTTTTAGAAGTGCAGGTTTTTCTTTCTTTTGGAATGAATATAGCAATTGATCTAAGTCGTGCCGAATGCCTCTAATGCCTCTTTTTTCCTCGTCTGTTTGGTGAGTGGATACAATAGTTGACATTAATCGTGCTGAATGCCTTCTTTTTTGTTCTATATACACCCTCATTTGTGGCAACGGGTACTACTGCCCAAAAGGTGCAGGACCCTGGAAACGTGATACGGAGAATTAAACGTGCCTAGAGGCGTGTAAATGAGGTTTTTGGTCGAGTAGGATGGGAAAACGAAAAAAAGGGGTGGAGTGTTACTATCGGCAGATACACACACACATGTACACACACAAGTCGTGAAGAGGAGAAAAAGTGGCGTGGCGTGGCCGTAGCATTTTTTATTTAATTTTTGTTTATCGCTCCCACGAACTAGTTAATTCTGCATAAGGGGTATGTTCAATATTGTGGTGTCGACTTTCACCTTACCTTACCCGGTATTAGATGGCCACCCCCTCGTTCCTGTACCTTTTTTTTCCCTGTCTATCTTGCTACTCTTGGAACTACCAATCTGTGATTTTCTTTTGGTTCTCCATTTTTTTTTTTTTTTTTTGGAATGGGATGGGATGGGATGGCGGGAGAGGCGTGTGCGGGATGGGTAGATTTTGGGTGCGAGGGTATTATTGGTTTGTTGTGTGTAGATAGGAGTGCGTGTAGTATCTGGATGGTATATGTATGTCTGCATGCTATTGAATACTTTCCGATATTATGATGTATTGATGTATAGGTGTTGTTGCTTTACTTTGAGAGATGGTGCCTGGCAGCTGGGAGCTGATGGCTGATGGCTGGGGTTTGGATAGGTCACTGAAGTGAAGCTTGAATGTTTAGTTTGGAGCTGAGTGTACTGGAGAAATGTGGTCATCTGGAAACCTTGGAATAATATATTGCAATAAATGAAACTATTCAAGATGAAGATTATATTAATAGAAAGAGTGTATAGGACGTAGCTAGTAATGTAGAAACGTCATGGCTGCTGCCAGCAAACCCCTCTCATTCGGTGTTATGAGTGAAGTGAGACATTATTGCTGCTAGCTGCCATTGATGATTATGCACCGGCGATAGCCTCTGCTGAAACAGCTGCAAGCTCAAACAGGTAGGTCCAGGCACAGCTGCTACAAGCTACTGACGGGCCTATGGCGAGCTGTGTGTGCCTCTCCAGCCACAACCTCTCTAAATCAACACCTCACACATACAAAGGATGCTTCCCCTCCTTGCGGCTGCGATAGGCACAACAACACACCTAGATAGGTAAACAAGCATCAACGCCACGTTTTAGACCCAATCAGACACGCCTCCTAAGCTTCCCCTCCTTATCTAGCTGCTTGCTTTTTTCTCTTTTTAATGTCTACAGCACCCACCCCACCTGTAGAAAATATAAGAGTGCTATGCCGGGACACATGACAATTGAGCCAGAAGCTGGAGCGCGACAAGGGGTCCCGCCCGTTTGGGGTCGCGTAACTTGCCCCGGGCTATTTTAGCTCGTTCCTGTCAGGTTCGATTCGATACTTGGGCCGTAGCTCGTGCTGCTGTCTGGAAGAATGTACCTCGTGTGGATATGCTCCATTGTCGTAGTACTGCGTAGTGTGCGATAGCACTTTGGATGTCTGCTCTGATGCGGTGTGCCTCCTATTTCCGTTTCCAGACGATATTCCATTCAATAATTTGGCTGTTTGATACATTTTACTCTCCCCGAACTACAAAACCTGTGCCCTGTTTGCCAGAGATAGATCGCGGGACCCTGGAAACAGCCCCTAGAGCCCATCTTTAGTGGCGCACGGCACTACCACTTGCGTACCTGCCAGCTTCAAGTCACATACCGCAGACCGCTGCCACTGCGACTAACTCCCGTGCGTCGGCGCCACGCCCGCATCTCTCTCCTGCAAAATCCCCTGTTTTGTACGACTGCGAGAGCTCCGGCCACCACGAGAACAGCATCTTCTACCACCTTGTCCTGACGGTCGAGCTTCATCCCTCATTTTTTTTTCTGTGTGCCTCGCCCCTCTCTCCGACCCCTGGCGAACATCCATTAGCCACCGACGACTCGAGGCCCCACCATATCTCGAAACCTATCACGAACCTGACGACTCTGGAGATGACCGGCTTCTCGACCTAGAAGCTTGCTTTGTTTCCTTCTTTCCCCCCCTCTTCCTTCTTCTTCCTCCATAGACATTTCCCGCCATGGAAGTGTCTTCGGTCAGCGTCCCGAGCTCGAGCCTCGGCGGCGCCACCAACGGCAACGGCGCCTCCATACCGGCCCCCTCGTCGCCCACACCGACGCCGACGCCCTTCCCGACCATCGAGCCCGAACGCGTGGTCGACCACCTTGCCGCCATCTGCGAGATTGCCCTGGGCGCATCGCGGGCGGATCTCGAGCTTCCCGGCAACCTGCTGCACAAGGCGTTGTACGGAGAGACCATTTCGCGGTGCACGCGCTTCGCCAACGATACCCTCAATGTTTTGTATATCCAGAAAGACGTGGTGCAGGCTGGGGCGCTGGAGAATGGCGCTGAGAATGGAGAGTCGATCGAGCATCCTAGCATTGATGCTGCTGGTGAGGATTTCTGTATTATCTCTCTCCCCCTCCCCCTCCCCCTCCCCCTCCCCCGCATATTCTCTCTCCCCTTTTCCTTTTCTTTCCTCACTTTGGTTGGGTTGAGCTGACATGTTTGACGATAGCCCCCACTACCTACGACTATACTCTCTCGACCGAAATCACCTCTACTCCCACCACCGTCGCTACTTTGATTTTGCTCAAGGCATCGCAAGCGATTGATTCTTCTCGTCCTCTTACCTCGCAGATATTCATTACTAATTTACCTGGTCCCGCCTCCTTTAATGTCGCCTTGGGAGAGCAGGGCGTTGCGCTCTCCCCATGGGAAGTGCTTCACTCTCAAGTGCACCATGCCTTGGTGCCATACTTTGACGCAAACAGCAAGAGCCAGCAGCTGGCCAACGGGTCAAGGGGCCGAGATGTCGATGCGAAGACGGGCATCCCCGTTACGAAGAAACGATTGAACGACCTGGAGCTCAGTCTGCTTCATCTGCAGCAGAACGTCGACATTCCCGAAATCTCTTTGACGTTCCACTCGCTTATCCAGAATGTCCTCGATGATGCCGAAGTCACGGAGACGAAGCCTTCTATGGAGGCTATTCCGAAAAACCTTCTCCAGGACAGCAGCTTCCTCAACAAGCTGCAGGCAAACGTCAATACCTGGATCAAGTCTATCCAAGGCATCACCAAGCTGACCAAGGAAACGTCATCGAATGCTGTTCAAGAGTTCAGCACAGCCAGCCAAGAAGTCAACTTTTGGCTGTCCATGGAGTCTGCGTTGGAGGGAATCGAGGACCAGCTTAGGAGCGAAGGTGTCCTCTTGACCCTCGACGTCTTGAAGCATGCGAAGCGTTTCCAGGCCACTGTCAGTTTTGTAGCTGATACGGGCCTGAAGGAAGCCAAAGAAAAGGCGCAAAAATATAACCAGCTCATGCGCGACTTTCCGCTCGACGAGCTGCTGTCTGCCCCGTCTCTGCTCAAGGTTGAGGAGGCCATTACTCAGATCTTTGCCCATCTGATGAAGAAGCTGAGAGTGTGCCCATATCCGATTAGAAGAGCGTTGAGCTTGGCTCAAGCTATCTCAGCGGATTTGAATGACGTGCTTCTTCGTCTCCTTCCCGGCGTTGAGCTCGTCAACCTGGGCTACCCAGAGTTTCAGAATGTCATGCGCACGTGCGACAGCATTTTCGCTGCTTGGGAGGACAATATCAAAGAGTTCACGCACCTGGCCCGTATGCTCATTATTCGCAGAAATGAGAAGCGAATTCCCATCAACGTGGAGAAGAACCATTCCGAGCTGGAGTCGCGAATCAAATATGTCAGCGCATTCCGAGACAACCATGAACAGCTGCAGAGGACCATTGTCAACGTTTTGGGACCCAAGGCCATTCTCTCCGGTGTTGTTACGGATGTCTCCTCTTCCTCCCCGGCCACTGCTGGCGCTGTTATTGAGGAGATGGGCGACGTAGATGCTGTGGAGGAAGTTAAGCGAGCTTGGGAGGCTCTGCAGAATGTTGACCTCCTGGATGTGACCGACCAAGGAAAGGA